CACACACACACACACACACACACACACACACACACACACAGATACGCTCTTCACTCTTTCACACTATCAACATATCCATATATGAGACAACATAGCCTGGGACGTGTTTGGACTGGGACACCATGTGGAGTGTTGGAGGTGCAAGAAGTGTAGATTTAAGCTTTTCATTTGAGGGGAAGAGCAAAAAATAATTATTCTTTTCCAGTTTAACACAGTCAGAAATTAAATGTTAATGGATGTTACTAAAGAACTGGGTTTCCAGTTGTTAGTTTGTGTCTTCAGCACGTGAAGTTCATGCTAGGTTGAGGTATTTGCAGAATTTTCAACTTCTTTACCTTCAAAACCTTCTGAGTGGCTTTTTCAGTTTGTTCTTCAGTCCCCTAAAGCAGACAAACACCATTAACACCGTTAAAAATGGTCCACATTCTTTCACCTCTGAAAAATTTGTAAGTAGCACGTTGAAATCTACAGATGAGCTGACTGAGGTATTTTAAAAACAAACAAAAGCAGCACTGCAACAACTTTAGACATAAACAAAAGTGGAAACCTTAAAAACTATGGTTATTGATGTTGGCCTAGTCCACCATGCACCGCTTGAGGTTAGTCCTTAATGTTGCTGTGCGATTTGAATGATTTGCTTCCAAACAGTCCTGGTCCTGAGCTGACGGCCAGTCTTCCTGGAAGCAGTCAGATGTTTTGGTCTCTGGGACACAGCGGGCTGTCTTTCATAAACCCTTCATAAAGACAGTTTTTATGAAAGACATAAATAGTGCTAATAAAAAGTTGATATGTTATTTAACCAGCGGATGTGCTGTATTCACCTAGGCTGCTCCTGTGTTGTGTCAGCAGTAAACACCCCTGATTCAGTGGCACTGGACAGGAGTGATGTTCAGTGTACTTAGATACAAGTACCTTCGAGTCTACACCAAGGTTACTGTAGTTTTGGTATTTATATATTTTGGTTAAATTTGTTATCACAAACTGTCTGATGAGATGTCTACAAGATGAGAGCCAAGTGCTTTTAAATGTTCTTGTTATATTGTTATACGTGTCCTGATTTTCCTTAAGCTACCAGCAGGTACAAGGACACAAACTAACACAAGGCTAAACTGGAGGAAAATCAGCGATAAAGAGAAGCACCACCTCCTGAACCATTACCTTATTGGGCTGTCTTGTTGTTGCCACTCCAGTGCACCTGTTGTCATTTTGATTTGCACCAAAGCAGCTTAAATGGACTCACAGTGGTTTCTGCTTGCTAGCTGGACAGACTTAGAGCCCTACAGTTTAACTGACTTTGTGTCACACTGATGATCAAGTGTTTCTGAGTGTGTAATAAGCTTTTATTTTATTTTTGTGGGCCACATACAGACCACTTTAAATATCTGTGGGCCGTGTAAATAAGTTTAACAACTCATGTGGTCCCTGATATATCTTAATATGAGAAAAGAAGCTGAGCCCAACAAAACAAAACAGAAAAAGCTGATTTCTATAATAGACTTATAGCTGGGCGATATAAGATTTTTTCATATCACGATATGTTTTTTTCATTTCAGGCGATAACGATATATATCACGATATAAGCCAAATAACTATATTTGTAAGATTTAAATGTGCCGTTGCTCACAAGTAAAATGTGAAATAATCAGCAGCTTGTTTTGATTTAAATATTTATTTCCCATAATAAGTTCAACAGGGTAGATGTACTTAAGGAACATGAGACTTTTTCAGATAAATAAAGGCAAATATTGCAAACTACACAAAAGGCAGCCGCTAAAGCGTTTAAGTTTCAAAATAGAACAAACAAAACAGACTACTAAATTGTCAATTCCACTTAGAAACAAAATATTAATTCTAAAAATAAATCTTAGTTTGTTTTACAGAAGAACAGACAAAATTGACTAACTTTTGTCAATATCAAATAAACTGAGAACTAAAAGGAAATTCTCAATCTCTCCTTGTTGTATAGTTTAGCTTTTCAAACAGTTTTAACAGTTACTTTAGTCTGACAAAAGCCGAATGACGAATTCCAGTCAGAGATTGAGCATGCACCGCTTTATTGTATTTCCAGACTTGCTTTCGGCACAATTTACAGTGCGCGCTACTCTGTTTTTTTGTCAGACTTGAAATAGCCAAAATACCGTCACACTACGGAACTTCTCTGGCTCTTCCGTTCGACAATCTCTCCGGCATTGGAACCATCATCTGTTTTCTCTTCGGTAACCTTCGGTCACGCTCTCGGTTGATTTTTCTCTAGTCGGCACACTCATTTCCTCCATTACCCGGGCAGCACGGTGGCTGGCTGCTTCCCAAACAAATACACATGTGCGGCTTGGCACTTGTGCTGTACATAACAAGTCATGTGACGTGACGCTGCGGCTGTGATTGGTTTGGCTCTGCGCTACTTAATTTGGATTGGCTGTTTTTTGTTTTTTTTAAGAAGACAAGAGCGGTGAGGCCTATCGCAATAGTTTAATTTTTCTATTGAGAAAAAGTTATTTCGCAATACATATCGTTATCGTTCTATTGCTCAGCTCTAACTAGACTGTGAAAAAACAAACTTCTCTGTCATTTCATTGTTTATGGGTTAATTACTTTGGTAATAAAATCTATGTGCAGGAGGTCTACAATTAGGAAAAGCTGCAAAATTAATGGAAACACAGTTAAAAATCCAAAATCTATGCTCTTCTTCACATTTTTTTCAAAGCTGTCCAGTGGACTGGATTGGAGTCCTTACGGCCCACTTCAGTCTTCACTTCAGTCTTCACGTCAGGCCCTGGGCCTTATGTTTGACACCCCTGATTTAGTGAATATACATCACCTTTAAAAAGGGGCACAGCTCAACCTTGTGCATGTAGCACATGTGCACTTCTGTGGTGGCTGGGTTAAATGAATAGCAGATACATCTTGTGTGTGTGTGTCTCAGTGAATGAAGCAGTAATGAAGGCCCACGGTAGGAAAAGAGGATGCTCGCTCATTTAAATTCTGCTGCTCGCACAGACACTGAACCTGCAGCTGATTCATATTTGTAAAAACAAGATTTTCTGTTGGTGTCCTCATGAAAATGAATGTGATGCTTTTGACCTTCTTTACCCTGAACACGCTGCAAGGGGCCATCTCCGCTCTGGCTGTCTGTTTTGTATTTGCATGGAGAGATTTGCATATGATTAAATTATTGAATGTATTGCTGTGTTGTGTTGTGACTCTGATGTGAAAGTGAGAGCCACGGAAAGTTGCTGCATGTTTCTCAGATGCTGAGATGATGCTGTATTGATCGATCCCTGTTAGTGAGATCAGATTCTTCTAGCAACAAAAAGGGTAGACGGTTGAAGCAGAACATGAGCACACAAGCAGAATTTTAAATAAGCTGGAGGAAGACGAGCTGAGCCTTAGAAGAACTTGTGCTGCAGGCTGCGTCGGCGGCCATTGTGAATAAAGGCTCGAGTTCTCGACCCCAAAAGTCACAGCCGATATTTTCAGTTTGTCCTGTAAGTTTTACTTTCTGTGATTCGTTCCTCATTTTTGTTCTTCAAACACTTTCATTATTGAATTTGTTGGAATTTATGTCGAAACTACACCGCATGCAGTTTTTAGATTTTGTTTCTCTTGAAAGACGTCGTCCTGATGATGTCCAGCTAGTGTCCATAAACCACGAATTCTCTGACTCCTCTGTTTGTGCAAACAAACTTGTTATCACAATAGATTAAATGGACTATATAAGTCTAACCAGACTAAACAAGTCAAGTGTATTAAACAGAGAATAAAGCATAAACAGTCTAAAACAGCAGTGCAGTTTATTTATGTATTTATAGAGGACCAAAACTGCCAAAATTAAAATAAATAAATAAATGCCACAACAGATGTTGCTGTTAAATGCTTGAAAAGAATATAGATAAATATAGCAGTTAGTTGATGTTTTCTCTAATTTGCTTCTTAGAATTAACTTTACGTTAAAGGATTAACATGCTGTGTGATCATTGTGATCGACTGTGATCTGAGGGGTGATCATTGTGATCGACTGTGATCTGAGGGGTATACCACGATTCAAAAAGGTCAACAACAGCAAGCTTTCTTTGCTCTACCCTAGTACAAGATGACCAGTATCACAACGGTGGTTGTCAGCATCCTCTGTTAAGCCGAGCTCTCTAGGCCTGGTGTATGTTTACATAAAAAGGGGTATTTCACTCTTCTCCTACACAAAGAATCCATGTGTGCGCCCTCTACCCTGATCGAACACGTTAGCATGTAATGATAAAAGGTGAAAAAATGTATAAAGAACATAAAAAATATAAATACAAAAAATAAAAAAGTGAAATGCAAATTTGATTGTAAATAGGACAACATTAATACCCCAGAAAATCATTAATCATTAGATTTGGTGCACAGATCGGTAACATAAACATTTTAACTTTAATTAATTACTGGCTGCACGTCAGATCTGTGAAACTTTAAACTGGATCCTTTGAAACATTGAAGCTGACTTTCTCACAGCCTGGTAAACAAGATGTGGAGATAACTTTAGTCAGGAGATCAAAGTGAAATTAACTTGATTGATTGCTCTGGACCAAGTTATGTGTTCAGCATAAGTTACTATGGTGATCAAAGCTGAAGACGTCAAGCTCAACATACCTACAAATCTGCTAATCTGACTTCATGGCACAGCCCTCAGATGATGGGGACATAGGTGTATGTTGTTCTGGGTTTTGGAACTCCAACTGATCATTGATGCCTTAAGGACGAAAGTCATTTTTAAAAAATATAAAATTGCTGTAAATTCTGGTTAGTAAACATCCCTCACCTCTCTTCTCTCCGCTCTTGTCTTTTGTAGAGAGGTGAAGCGTTTCCTTGGCGCCGCCGTGGATCTGTGCAGGTGGAGGGTCACATCACATGGGAGTGTGCGACTGCACGCGTGACGGTGTGTGTTTAGGCCTCCTGCCGTCACTCGCTCCTCCCAGACAGGCATGGCGGGGGGCAGGGAGCGCAGCGGCTCGAGGACACAGAGGCCGTGGTCGGTGTACCGAGCCAACACGCTGGAGCTGTCCAACGAGATGATCAGCTTGGCGCTCGCAGGTCAGAATATCGTGGAAACTGAGCTAGAGTCAGAAACTTTTTAGTGTTTTGTGCATTTTAGCAAAATAGAGTGTCAAATATAGTTTGGTCACATTTAAGGAGGTTTAGAAAAAGGTCAAATAAGTCCAACTCACACTGATAAAGCATCCCTGAGGTATTCACGCATTATCAAAATGGTCAGATTTTGTATTTCAAAATAAAAGCCTCCTGTATGAGTTTTTTACCTTTAATTTACAAACCGATTACAGGGAAACGTCCTGTTTTCACAGACTTATTTCCCTTTACCTTGATAGTATAACACGTCAGACTGTCACTCATTTAATATCAAGGCAGTCTGATTTGATCTGATCTGATCAAAATAAAAACCTTTCCTATAAAGGTAAACATGGCTCATATAGCCATGAAAGGGATTACAGGAAAACATCCTTTTTAGAGACATGCTATTAATCTAAAGGGAAGTATAATACCTCAGGCTGTCATTCCACGTCAAGTCATTCTGTGTATTTCAAAATAAAAGCCTTTTGAAAGTCTGAGCTGTGTTTACCTTTAATTTAAAAAGACATTACAAGGGTGCTAGTTTCATTTGCATCTAAACATAATCAAAATTGATGTAAAGTAGCTTCAATGTTGCAGCTGGAGATGATTCTAATAAATGAACTGCTGGTCGACTTTGTTTTTTAGTACTGCAACATAATTTATCATGTACAAAAGCTTCTCTGACTTAATGTTCTGATGATGTTTGTGTTACTTTGCAGGAAATAGTCAGGACCCAGATGAACCTGTGCTGGAATTCAGTGTGGGTGAGTAATATGAGCATTTATGATGGCTGTCCGTGACATTTATAACCCGTATTTAAATTTAGTGGTCGTTAGTGCCTCAGTTCATGATCTACTCACTGCAGCTCAGCAGCAGAAATATATCAGACAGTGAGAATATATGAGTATATGGTCAGCTGGTTGTGAGTTAATGAGTATGTGTAATCAATCCAAACATTTTGAAACAAACTCTCCAACCTCGCAGCTGCAAGACTGCCTGTGCAACCACAAGCACCTTCAGAGAGTCTTCCTGCTTGCCTCTTGGCTTGATTTGCTTGTGTTTTCTCACCCAGCATGCACAGACCTGGTGACTCCTTCTCTGGACCGAAAACCCAACACCTTTGTAGCAGTGAGCTGCACGACACCGCCGCAAGCCTTCTGGACCAAACACGCCCAGACTGAAGTCATAGAGGTCAGACTCGTCACACAGATACAGAAACCGACTTAAAGTTACAGTTGGACTAATGTTTAAGCAGCTCTAGCTTCCATAACGTTGATTTCAGCTTGTAGGTGTGACTTAACTATGGCATAGTGACCTGTTTGCCACCACCCACACCTTCCTTATCTACGTCATTCAGTCTGGATGTGGAGGACGAGGGAGAAATGACTAATAAAACTGCATAAACACACTTTTAGAAAAGTTTTGTTGCCAAACACAAATGTGACCTCTGAACGAGCAATTTCAGAGGTCACATCACTTTGTATTGAATGCATTTATTTACACGCCCCCTCAAGTGCAGAGTGAGTCATCAAAAATCAGGATTTTGTTGGGTAAACACTCATAAATATGTATTTTTATGCATATTTGGCAAAGTTAAAATGATACAGTGTGAAACCAGTGTATTTTTAGGCTTATCTGTATGTGTTACAATGACTTTCTTCTTCCAAAATGCCTGTTTTGCACATGGTTTGAACTTTTAACTTAAATGTCAACGCAAATTGAAGCTGCTATTGTGTTACTTTTCCTTGAAAATGTGATATGATAATAACAATAAAACAAAACATGAACTGCTGAACTATTTTGTGTAACCTGTCTCTCTCCACAGGGCACCAGTAACCCCAGCTTCCTCAGCAGCATTGCCTTCTTCCAGGACTCCAACATCAACCAGCTGACGCAGGTCAAACTGGCTGCGTATGATGTGAAGGATCGCTCGCAGGGCACGGTACGACCAGCAGCACTGATAATTTTATTTTAATAATTTGAGCAAAGAAGCAGCTCAGCGTGTGAACTGTCTGTCTGTCCAGATGTACATGTTGGGCTCTGCACTTTTCCCTGTGAAGGAGATACTGCAAGAGAAGAGCCACAAATTACAGCTCGAACTGCGGTAACACACACTTAAACACACAAACACTTCTGCTTTTTTACTGCTGTATTCAAGATTCTTTAAATTCACCCCAGTTCTTTAAGCAAAACTCACTCCATCTTATTGCTGTTTTATTGCCGTCTTAATGCACCACTTTCACTTTGAAGACATAAACTGACTGCGAGTGAAAGATTTCTTGAAGCCATTTCTAAACAACTGCATATTCCAATATCATAATTACACCCCCACTAATATTTGGTTCATGGTCTCTTAGCATGTTGCACCTCAACCAGACACTTTTCACAGCCATCAGTGAGCTTCTGGTATAATCCTGGCTTATATTTGACTGCTATTCTTGGCAGAATTGGAAGAGTTAAAGTGTTTGGTTTCTTGGCACAATCTTAGCTTTTAAGCTCAGTCCACAAATCTTTTCAACAGGGTTTAGGTCGGGGTTTTGGGAAGGCCATTCCAGAAGTTCAACGTGAACCTGCTTTATCCATTCAAAACTCGTTTTAATGTGTGTTTGGGATCATTATCCTATTGGAACACCCAATTATGTCAAAGTTTCAATGGTCTAGCTGTTGATTTGAGGTCAAGTTAAAGATTTTGGAGGTAGTCCTCCCCCTACATTATTCCATCCACTTTTTGCATCACCAGTACCACTGACAGCAAAACAGCCCCAGAGCATGATGCTAGCACCACCCTGCTTGACAGCTGGTACAGGTTTGAAAACATACCTCTTGTCATTGTGGACAAATAGCTCAAACTTTGTTTGGTTTGACCATAAAACCTTTTTTCTAGAAGGCATCTAGCTTGTTGATGTGGGCAGCTGCAAATTTTAGTCAAGTTTGAAGGTGTAGATCTTCAAGAAGGGGCTTTTCTCTTGGTCAGCACCCTCTCAGTCCATGATGATGTAAAACAGGTGTCACTGTGGACAGAGATTTTGGTCTTCCAGCAGTTTCCAGTTCATGACAGGCTCGAGTCTTGATGGTTCCTGATTTGTTCCTGGGCATCCCTACCAATTTCCTCTCATTTGAGGGTAACAGTTTGGATCTTCTTCCAGACCTCAGCAAATCTGAATAACTTGTACTTAAGTACAGTTGTTTGAACCGATGACCTTGGAATCTGCAGTTGTTTAGAAAAGACTCCAAAACCTTCCCAACTTGTTTAAATATACAGTTCTCCTTCTTGGATCTTCACTGAGTTCCTTAGACTTTCCCTTAGTTTTGAGTATTGGTCAGTCCAACGAGTTCAATCAAACAATCCTTTTTAGGCTGCAAAGAAAAGCTACCAGTTGGACACAATCATGATCACTAACAAGAAGTTAACAAACATGTGCACCCAGTGTGTTAAAGTTGTTAAAGATGTATGCTGCACAGTCATTCCACCCTGGAAAAGAACAGTTAAAAGAAATCATTAAAAAGACAAGATTATCAATCAATCAAGCAATTTATTTATAAGCAGATTTAAAAACAGCACAGGCTGACCAAAGTGCTGTACATAATAAAAAAGTAAAAAGTAGATCAAACACACACAAAGAACAAAACAAAACTCAGCCACAATTAAAAGCTAGAGTGTAAAAAAAGTGTTTTGATTGATTGATAATATTTTATTCATCCCGATGGAAATTGGGTTAAGGCTGCCAGCCTTGCCAGCGCCATATGCCATTTTCAAACAGGTTTTAAAAATGTCTAGTGTTGGAGAGATCCTAATTTCAAGAGGCAAACTGTTCCAAGGTTTGGGTGCAGCAATCGCAAAGGCCCAGTCTTCTCTGTTTTTTAGACTGCTTCTAGGGACAAACTAGAAGCAACTAGCAGCTGACCTAAGAGTTCTATTTGGAGTATTTTTAGTTAACAGATCAGAGAGGTATGACGGAGCTAATCCATTTAGAGATTTAAAAACAAGCAATAAAATCTTAAAATCAATTCTACCACATACGGGAAGCCAGTGTAAATGAACCAAGGCTGGGGAAAAATGGTCATGTTTACAAGTGCCTGTCAAGAGTCAGGCTGCAGCATTCTGAACTAGCTGAAGATGAGAGAGCAGAGCCTGGCTGATACCAAAATAAAGACTATTACAGTAGTCAAGCCTGGATGAAATAAATGCATATCTCACTTTCTCAAAGTCAGCAAATAACAAAATGTTCTTAGTTTTTGCAAGGGGATTTCTGGACTTTTCCAGAGGACCAAGGTCAACCTTAAGAGAAAAGCGAGGGTCAGAAGGTCCAAATAGAACAATCTCAATTTTTTTTGGTCGTTTATATTCAAAAGATTTAATGCAAACCATGATTTAATGTCATCAAGGCAGTCTAGCCAAAGAAAGCTTACCATGACATTCATGCCCATGATGATTGTGTGTAAACTGCTGACCACAACGGTAAGCAAGAAATAAAAGATGCTTGAATTTTAACTGTACAGAAATTACATTTCATTTTTATGAAATGTTTCTTCTTACTTTGAAAAGTAAGAAGTGCTGTCATTTATGTATTTACAACATATAAAAGCCTGTTTGTCATTTCTTCTTTTCCATCTTGACACAAAGCCTAATGTGGTTAGTAAAATGAAATGTGCGTCATCCTTCCTTTACTTTAAGTGTGTTTCCTGCTTAATTTGCAAGACAAAACTTGAAATGGAAAAAAGATATAGTGACAGATTTGTGGTTCTAGTTTTTAGTGTGCCACTGAAGAAGATCTGCTGAGGATGTTGGATAGCATAAGGACATGTAACTCAATATAATCGAAATGGCAGTGGTGGGTGGCACTCTGGAAATGAATCATCTGGCTGAGAAGAAGGATATTTAAAAAAAAAACACAGAACAAACGTGGGCTGAGGTGGGAGACTTGAGGAACACCGCATTTAAAATGAATAGGAAACAGGAAGCAAGTATTAGCTAAGGCTGCTAAAGATGTTCTTTCAGAGAAGAAAGAGCCACTGACTGTAGAAGATCTTTATACAGCCATTGGTAAGAACATAGAAGATTAAAAGCGGATCTCTTAATTTTAACCTAGTTTGCAGAAGGTGTTTTGGCACTTAAAAAAGCTATTTAGGAATTAAATGACACTAAAAGAATGATTAGCAGCTTTAATGCTGTTTTATGTTCAAATGGGCAGATCAGCAGAGAACCAGCGGGTAGGGAACATCACTGTGGCGGCGTGGCAGATGGAGGAGAGAACAGATCAGAGGATGTCGATGGGACGTCTGCCAGAAAGCATCAACGGCCGGGTAAGAGGCTGGCAGCCACGGGCAGATTTATTTATCTTCCTTGTGATCAGAGTAGATATTTTCCATCATTGGCCAACACTGGCGTCAGTTATTATATCTGCAAGCTCAACAAATGTTCTGAGGTTACATCAATTAATATAATTTTGCATTTGCATCAAAAGTTCTTATGTTTGCTTGTAAAGAATTTGATTAGACTTGTATACTTAAATATCTCAGACAGATTTCTGAGTGTTTACGCTTCATTGTCTCTCAAATGTTGGTCAAATGCTGCATGTTTGCTCCTGAGCCTTGCTGTTTTTCTGTGACTGCATATAAAGCATATATATTAAATGATCATGGTACAATAAAGACATCGCCATGTGGCAGTAAAGTCATTTATCTCGGGTTTGTGTAGAAGCTCTGGGAGTGTGGTGTAGGTGATAGTGGAGAGATAAAGGAAGGTGGATGCTGCCTGCCAGAGCTGACTTAGTATAATGTTGGTGCTTGTGCTTGTCCTGCAGACGGTGCTGCCTGTCGACGAGAGCCTGACGGAGTCGATGGGAGTCCGAATCAAGTACGCCTCGTTGTGCAAAGATACCCTGCTGCGCTCAGGTGGGACAGCTTTGCTCTGTGACTCAGTGTGTGCAAAGTAGCGTGGTGTTAGTAAGGTTTTGGTGAAGTTTTGTTTTTCTTTCTTCTTAAATCAGTTAAAATAACTTGGCTACATTGTCCTGTACTTTGCTGATATGTTTCTAATCAGTTTAATGAAACATTTGGATCGAAATTGTTTAATCTGGTAACTGAGTAAGCATTTAAAGACATGAATGTTAAACAGATCTTCCTGCATTAAATGCCTTCATTAGAACCCTTTCACATAAGCTTAGAGATCAGTCTGTGGATCCCTGGCAACCTTTGGTGGGAAGGAAAAATGTTTAATTCCTGGCTGGTTGTTGAGTGGTTGCTAGAAGCTGCTGTCAGTCACATGGTGGTGCACAATAAAACCTCCATTAACAAGATGTAAGCTTGTTTAGAAACACTTGTTGTTTACTGTTTGAGTGAAAGTGAAACTCGGCTAAACTGTCGCACAAACCAGAAATGGCAAAAAATTGCCTTCAGTGTTGTGCCAACACACCACAACTTGTAGGTATTTTCTAATTGTTTTTTATTTTTATTTCATTTTGACTTTTGATTTTCAGTTCAGTTTAGTTTCAGTTAAGTTTCCAGAGTGGGTTTTCTTATTTCAGTTTAGTTTCTGTCGTTTGAAAATGTTTAGATTTAATGTCGTTTCTATTAGTTTCTCTCGTCGTTTTAGTCTATTTAATTAAGGTTGAACAGGTTGATCAGGTCAAAGACAAAAAGACTCAATAGAAGTTTTTACCCACCGGCTGTCAAACATACCCTACCTCCACCTTGTTTGAAGGATAACTGCACTGCCAACACTCATTACGCTTTATTTATAAATCGTATTTTTATTTATACTATAATGCAACCAACATTCCTACCTTTTTAAACTGTATTTCTTATAACCGTATTTATTATAGTAGCAACAGGCCCCCCACACACACACTGAGTGTGTACCTCACAATGCACCTGCTCCTCAGATTGCATGTATGTGTATGTATATATGTAGGCGTGCATGTGGAAATGTGTGTGTGTGTGTGTGTGTGTGTGTACACATACATATATGTATGTATATATATATATACATACATACATATATGTATGTATATGTATGCAGGTATATGTATAAATTGTACATGTCTAAATGTAAATTTGTCTGTGTCATTGTGTAAATACTTACGCTATTGTACATTTCACACTCATGGAGAGATGCCAAACTGCCTTTCATTGTTCTTGTAACAGTGACAATAAAGAGCTATTCTATTCTATTAATATTGTATGCAGGGCACATGTTAGAGGCAAGACCTAGGAATATCAGCATAGTTATTACAATTAAAAAAACAATTAAACAACTGACAAAGATAAAAACGAAGGATATGCGCTCTATAATTAAGTTTCTTAAAATTCCTTCAATTTTATATTTTTCAAATGTCAAAGGTTTTTATTTTTATTTTAGTTTACGGAAATGTTTTTTCATTTCTAGTTATAATTATAATCTTGAATCAGATTTTTTAGTTTAGGTTGTACTTTTCACAATTTCACTTTCCCTTTGAGAGTAGTTAACAAGTTTTAGAAGACAAGTCAACGTCTTCCAAGCAAACTATTGGTAACCAAAGAGAGTTTTGGTCCCAAAAGTGCCCAGCAGCCTCTAGAAACCACCTGGCACCTGGGTGGGGAATACAAATTTTCCCCTATTGACCAGAGGTTGTAAAATGGTTGGATACTGGTCTGTAGCCCTGTGTCACTGAGACCTTAGGGTATTAGGTTTATGTGCATGGAAAACCAAAGGAGAAAGTGTGAAACAAACTGACTAACTCGTTGAAATTAATATTTAATAGTTTTAGTTTAATTTAATTTTAAAGATGCCAGGCAAAATGTATTCTGCACACACTGAATATTTTCTGAGTTAAAGTCCCTTGAGGACATAGTAGTGGCGCTTTTTAACTCGCCTTACATTTTCCTGATACCAAATCAAATGTACACTAAGACTGTGATACTTCAAGTTTCATTGAGCGATCTTGTAAGCGTATAAACCATGGGATTAAACCTAGTTTCAATAGCCCCATTTCAGTGTGTAGGATGTAGAGGAACAGAAACGAGCATTGGTACCTGAATGTTTGATCTGCTTTCTGATAATTCACAGGAAAAAACTTCAAAAAGGCAAAACTTTGAAGACCCATATCACCATGTGGCATACATGTCTGCTCAAAACAAGTTACAACATATGAACATGAACATTTTTACCTACATCTTTATACCAAGCTAATCTCCGAGCAGTAATTCATTTGACTCATTTGGACACTTTTACAGAGCTTCATTGACCCTTATAGTCATATATTCTGAGAGGAGTATGTCTTCTGAATTTCAACCCTGCACCTGTTGGTTTTTTATTTTTTCTCTCCTCGTCCTTCATTTCTCTAACTCACATTTTCCATCAACATGCAGTTGAGTTGTATTGATTGTCCCCGGTGAGTGGGAGGTGTCTGTTTACCTCGGGGATTGAGTGGCAGTCCAAAAATAACGGAAAGCAATAACGTTGTTTACTGAGGAAAAACTTTGGTCAGATCTGTCTTCATCTAATCCAAGCTAACTGAATTTTGTGTTGCTTCAGTGTTTGGCGGCACGATGTCGAGGATGTACCGCTTCCCCACCACTGATGGGAACCACCTACGAGTGCTGGAGCAGATGGCCGAGAGCGTCTTGTCTCTAAACATTCCCAGACAGTTTGTCAAACTGCTGCTGGAGGAGGATGCAGCCAGGTACAGTCATGTACAGCATTTCTAAAGTTTACCAATAAAGAACATGTTACTTGTTCTTACTTATTCTTCATTTCTTATACTGAATAAACTGAACCTCTTGTTTGCTGCTGGTCTGTAAAACTTTTTTTCGCTCTTTGCTTTGTGCTTTTAAAGAATGCATAGTTTCTCAAAATGGATTCAAAACAGGTTAACACTGTGTAAAATACAACATCAGATGTTTCAACTGCAATATTTATGCAGGTGGAGAATTTTAGCAGCAGCCTGCTTAAATTCTGTGAGACGTGGACATCATCACAACTGCTATTTCCTTCAACCATCACCAGAAATCCGATTTTCCCACCATTGCACTGTGAAGTCATTTTGATCACAAAATATAACAATGAAGTTGTTAAATATATT